TCATGGGCACACGGTGCTCCACAGCTGACTCGTCCGACGGCGAATCGCGCGCCCCAATGACAGGCCTCGTTTTCCAGGAACAAAAATGGCGTCCTCAGTATTCCCCAGGATCCGCGCGCTCCCATTGGACGTCGCGCGTATCCTCGTACTCCGACGCCTGTCAGTGGCCGGCGGCGAGGAAGGGAGAAAAGTCGAACGGGCGCGAGAGAGAGAGAGAGAGAGAGAAGGCGAGCGAACGCAGCGGCGCGTCGCAGTCAGTTTTTGCAGGCGCGGCGCGATAGGTTGTTCTCGCACGGTCCCTCTGGGTACCTGGGGATCGCCCGCGCACGACAGCCCGACGGCCTACTACGAGGTAGGCTCCTTCGTCCCCGAGGAGTCCGTCCCGCACCCCGTTTCTCGCCGTAGACGCGCGCGCGCGGCCGCGTGCTCGCTCGCGCGTACGCGCACGCATACGTGGACGGGATGGCGTCCACGAAGAGGAAGCAGGACGAGAGGAACCTGAAGACGCTCCGCGAGCTGGTCTCGCAGCCGGGCAACAAGGAATGCTTCGACTGCAACCAGCGCGGGCCGACTTACGTCAACATGACCATCGGCTCGTTCGTCTGCACCTCTTGCTCTGGTATGCTGTAAGTAGCTCCGGCTCCGAACTACTCGCTGCAATGTCCTCGTCTCCCCTCTCCCCCGGCCCTCCTCGCCGCCACCCCCCCCCGTCCCCGTCCCCGTCCCCGCGGACGGTTCCCGGATCGCGTGTTCCGCGCGCGGCGCGGGTACCGTTCTCGCGTTCTCTCCCACGGCGCGGCGGCGTGACATTGGGCAAATGTCAGGCCCGCCGTCCCGGACGACGACGGCGGCCTGGGATCCTGGCCCGAGGATCCACCACCCGGCCGATCTCTCTCACTCTCTTTCTCCTCCCCGGAGTGAACCGCGACATTCGGGACACGGGGCCGCGGTATCCGCGCGATCGATGGTACCCGCTATATAGCCGTCTCGGCCCCGCGTTCCAAATCCTAGTCCTGGCCGTGACGCGTGCGGCGGCGGCTATAAATAGGAGGGAGAGGGAAAACCCGCGGCGCGCGCGCGCGCGCGAGATCGGCGAGGGGATCGGATCGGATCGACCTGGCGATCCTCGGAGATGCCGTCCCATGTAGGACGCGGCCCCCGCGCGAGAATCGCTCCGGGCGACGTACACGTGTAACAGGCCTCCGCTCCCGTGGGCGCGCTGCGTCGCGAGACGCGAACAGGAGGAGGGAAGAGAAGGAGAGAAAGCGGGGGAGAGACCGTGTGCGCTCTCTCTCTCTCTCTCTCTTTCTCTCTCTCGCGCGCGCGGCTCTGAGTCATCGCGTTGAAACGTCGGCGCGACTTCCACAGCCAGGAAGTCGGCCGCTATCAGCGACGTCGACGTTTTCTTTGTGCGCAGTTCTGCTTATCAGCTGCTCGAAACGTTACACCCGGGGACGAAAAGAGTTGTAAGAATGCAAACTTTGCCGGCCTTTCGTCTCCTCTTCCATTATCGCGCTCTCTCTCTCTCTCTCTCTTTTTCTCTCTCTCTCTCTCTCTCGTTTCCTCGCCTCTCCTTATTTCCCTGCCGAGGAAGCCGCGCGATCGCTCGCGCGCGACACGCCGAGCGCCGATTATCGACTCCGCGCGCTCCTCAATCGGCCGAGAGTCGCATTGCGCGTTTGCGCCGCGCCGCATTGCACTGCACACGCGCGCACGTGCGGATTTTTAAATCTCTCGTTAGACGGCTATATCTGGGTCCTACGACGTATTAGGAGCACGCGAGCCTCGTTATTATTCGTCACGGAAACTTAACGATTGACGTCGAGCGGCACCGGGGGTGACGCGGGGCGAGCGTGTCCCCGGAGCGGACCGCGGCGCGAAAAGAATCGCCCGTATGACGTAATTACAATTGCTAAGCGCTCATTGATTTTCCGCGAACTCCCCTCCGCCGCCCCCGCCCTCCCCTCTCTTTTTCTCTCACTCTCGTTTCGTACCGCGGAGCAAATGATTTCGAAGTCGATCGGCATAGAAACGCCCGCTTTTCAAATTCCACGCTCGCCGCTCGACTGCAAACCGTCGGAAAGTATTTGGCTCTCTTTTTTTTCCTTCGTCTTTTAAGCGCACGGGGGAGAGCCACAGGTATTCTCGCGTGAGTCGCGTCGCGTCGGCGAACACGAGATGCTGCTGAATCCGACGTTTGCGCTTGGTGCCGCGCGAGAATCTCAATCTACAAGCACTCGCGTCGCATTTCCAGGCGAGGGCTGACTCCGCCGCACCGGGTAAAGTCCATTTCCATGGCGACGTTCACCCAGGACGAGATAGACTTCATAAAGGAGCACGGCAACGAGTACTGCAGGCGGATATGGCTCGGCCTGATGAACTCCAACTCCCCGCAGAACCTGGACACCAAGGACGAGCAGAAGATGAAGGACCTGATGAGCGCCAAGTACGAGCTTAAGAGATACTACCTGGACCCGTCGATCGCGAACCAGAACACGGTGGCGCAGCCGAGGCCGCAGTCCGCGAGCGCCGTCCCGAGGGTGCCGAACTCGGGGACGTCCACGACGCTGCCCGCGCCGGTCGGCCAGAAGCAGGGCGGCGCGGACGCGATGAACAACGCCAACAGCTTCTCGACGGACTTCGTCGCCGACTTCAGCAAAGTTCCTGATCCCTTCTGCCCGGCGGCGACGGCGCCGGCCGGTCAGTTCGGCCACCAGCAGCCGTTCGCGCCGCAGCCGTTCTTCGCGAACTTCGACAATAATCCGGTCTTCAATAATTCAACGAGTGAGTACCGCGGGCTGCCTCCCCTCATTATCTGCCTCCCTAAGTCGCAATACCGAAGCCGAATCGCCGACGACGCTCGTCTTATAATGAACAATTTTATTATTGAGGTATGGAAACGTCCGCAATGTTTAATCAGGTCGGTGGGAACGGCACGTTGAACATGAATGGGACGTACGCGCCACCCTCGGAAGATCGTTACGCGGCACTTAAAGACTTAGACTCGCTGATGAAGCAAACGCAATTGAAGGAGGAGACAACTGGCACCTTGTCCGCGCCAACATGGAACACAAACAATTCGAATGGTGAATATCGTTTGCGGGGTCACCCGGTAAAGATAAAACAGTACCGTTTAGTTACACGCCTGTGTCGTCCGATTAACGCGAGAGGAGGCGTCGGAGTACACCAAGTTTCTCAATTGCAGCACCAAACGCCACGTGGAGTATAGGAGTAAATAATCAAACGCACGTCATCTCGAACCCCTTCACGGGCGGTGACTTGTGGCGGCCGTCTGCGAACGTAGTCAACAATAATACTCAGCCCTTCGATAGCTCTCTGTGCAATCCCGCGAATCCGTTTAAACCGACTCAGTTCCCTGTAAATAATGGTAAGATATCACGAAGATGCTAAAATTGCCCGCACTCTTAAAGAGTGTGGGCTGTTGTGTAACGTTCGCATCTTATTTTTGATTATTAATTTATATTTTTATCGTTGGTAATGTTTATATGTATTTTCCAATCACCTTCAATTTGGGAAGAACTTTGGAATCGCGAGCGCTAAAGAAGAAAAATATTACGTTAGACTAATCGTCAGTGACTTCAATTCGTAGCGTCGTTGGTGTTTCGTGGTCTCCTATTGGGATACATTTTTCAGATTCGCAATGGATAGGCATCGGCGCACCTAGTAACGGAGATGTACTCCAATTAAGTCAACTCATGACACCGCTAGCGAACAAAGTGTGGCAACCGACGGTATCGGCATATCATGCAAATCCATTCATGGTAAGCCCTAACTTTGTTTGAATTCTCGTGAGCAAGCGCGATGCTTAACACAGTTGTCGTCGTTACAGGTGGGTACGGGAGTGAGCAACATGACAAGGAATTCGAACAACCCCTTCTTATGATTATGTACGCGTAAGCTTTTAATGGAGTTGCGAACAAATAATGCGAACTAAAATATGTTTAGATTAGGCAAATTGTTATATGGTGACCTTATTGGCAGTTAGTGCCATTAACTTTTATTCCCAGGAGCACCAATCTCATATCTATATGAATAAAAAAAAATAATACTTTTATTTATGAATATAATATACACGTTAATAAAGATTAATATTTGTTACTAATCGTGAATGTTACTTGGCGATACTTCCAATTTCTCAAATTCTCAATTCGGCACAACTTCTCAAGTAAGACGAATCTTTTTTTCTCTCTCTTCTTCAACATTTCTTTCAACGATGTACCTAGAAAAAAATGAATTCTGCAACGCAGCAATGATAATGTTAAGTTTACCGTAGCATAAACAGTTCGAAACGTATATGTACTTGTATTATAGCTGTTACCGAAATGGACGAAGGAAATACGTCGAGAGGATTACATTTTGTCTTATGCACACTTAAATACAGTTTATTTACTTAAAAACTTCTAATATAAATACAAAATCACAAATGAACACTTAGTCTTTGTTATAATTCAATACCAATAGCTCTAGAGTAGAGATCCACTTAATCGTTCATAATTGCATGATAATTAATTATTACTTGATCATTACACTTGCAGTCTATATTATATGCAGTTGTAATATATTATTAATCGTAATAACAGTCGGTTCGCGTTTTACAATTACATATGAATATAAAGATAAGCCTTGTGTTGTCAATTAGCTCACGTAGCTGCCGTATTAATGTTTCTTTGTTCGTTTGCTGAGTAGTCTGGAAGCTCCGAGGAGTGTAATACGAGTTACCGATTCACTTAGAGTAATATAAATTATACCTCACTGTATAAATGGTGAAAACAATCGAGAAACACTAATATATGAGTAGACCAATTATATTAATTGTTATTGTATAAACGTACGAGAGATGTGTGATATCGATATTACTAGGCAGGCGTCGCGTATCTTGACGATACATCTGAAAGCGCATGGACTGTTTCCTTCTTCATGGCACGAATTCATCTAGCAACCGTTGCTACTGGCATTGCCTTTTGGTAGTGGGCGCACCAAGTATAGCTTTTCTCCCTGCTTATTGGTGTAGATTGGGGCCCTCTGATAATGATCTACAAGCTGATCTAGCGTGTGGAACTTCCTCTGACCGATGCAGTATAGCGCTCCTTCCACGTGTACCCTAAAGTGCTTGTTACGTCCTGGCGCTTTCAAGGATACCGAATAGTCGCCCATCTAAAAATTGGCAATAATTAGGGCGATAAGCAACGAGATTATTCTCGTTATACTTGCTTTATACAATTAATTCAGAGCAGGTTTTTAATTAGCTGGAAATTTTTAGAGTTTAATCAAATCTGGAATTTTATCACAGTGCAAGCAAACATTTTATAAATAAATAAACAAAAGGGCCAATAATGACGAGCTGTACGAGGCGACAATGTGACAAAATTATATTTAAACAATCATTTAAAAGAAACGAACGTTTCGACTGTTACAAAGTCTTCATCGGTGCAATAAAAAATTATATACGCGGATAAATAAGAGTAAACGCAGAAATGTTCGAGAGCAAAGTTTCCGACTGGGAGATCGGCTGATTTTGCAGCGAAAATTTACTTAGAACAGACCTGAAGGCCTCCGACTTAATAGTAGCCGCTGTACTCACGTTGGTTTCACTATCCCTGATTAGGAAATCCCCGTCGTGGCCGTGTTGATTGAGCAGCGTGTCGCATTGCGAGCGTGTAATACTACCGTAGTACCAGGGCTTGCCGACGAGATGCGGCCGATCGCCGGGATCCGGCCTCCGTTCGAGGGAGTCCCCCTGGCTGATCTCGCTACTCGTCATACCGCGCTCGCGGTACGGCTGCGTCAAGTACTCGCTGAGCTCCTGGAGATAATTGCGCGGCACCAGTCCAACCTGTCCCTGACTGTTTCTCGCCTTGTACCACTCGGGGTCCGCCGGTGGACGGTCGAGGATCTCGAGGCGGTCGCCCTTCTCGAACGACAGCTCCTGGTCGTTGTTGGACGAGAACGAGTAGAGGGCCACGACGATGTCGAGCACGTTCTCGGCCATCGCGTACGTGTGCAGCGTGTCGTCGGCGTCGCCCTCCTCCTGGGTGTAGTTCGACGGGAACCAGCCGGCCTGGGTGCCGCTCTGGCCCCGCCACCAGCCGTCATTGCTCTTCTCGAGTATCAGGATCCTGGTGCCCTTCACGAGGGACAGCTCGTCCGCCTGCTGCGCCTGGTAATTGTACTTGACGACCGCGGTGCCGATCGCCTCGCTCGGATCGGCCGGCAGACGTCGCGCCATGATGGGGGACTCGACCGCCCGGGACGGCGAGTTACTGGATGGCAGGGTCTTGGAGCCGGAGCCCTTCTTGACCTTCTTCTTAATACTATCGAACAACGAGGGCTTCTCCTTCTTAACATAGTTGCTCGGCACATAGCCCGCCTGTCCTCTCGCGCTCTGCACTCGCCACCAATGCTTCGAATCGTCCAGCAACAGATAGCGATCGTTCTTACGTAAATCTAGCTCCTGAGCACCCTGTGCCCCATAATCATATTTGGCGACAACGTAACATACGTCGTCCTGACTCGTCTTGCCTGAAACGTATCACGGCTATTATCATTGCACATACCGACATATAATGATTATGTTAGATTAGATCCTACTTTAATCAATTACTTGTTTAATGATCGCTTAGTACACGTGATATTTGCTACAACAACTTGACTATGAATTATGAACCATCAGTTCTCAACTCGAATGTTCCGTAATTTACGAATTTCAAGAAGGTGGACACACGAGACTGAACCAAACTTACTTAATCACCACACAAATCACTCTATGTCTGCTCATAGAAACAATAAATATATATATATATATACTTTCGAAGTTTACACAAGTCACAGACAATACAAGATTAATTATCCAAATCGCAACAATCCAATTTGAAAAGTCGAGTGGCCAGAGAGACAACGAAAAAATAAGAATATTCTCAAGGAAATAAAATTTACCAAGGTAGCGACAAGGGCGAGTCGCGATCGAGGTAATAACTTTACGTAGACCTGACGAGAGAACTGAATCGATATGATAATCAAAAGGAAAAGAAATTTACATACAAAGCAAAAAGCGTACGAAAATAAAAACGTACCATGCTTCATGGCTGCCATGTGCGTAAAAATAAATACATATATATATATACGACGATATATATGTATTTAGATTTTGTATGTACAGCTCTGAGTGTGGCGTGAGTAGCTGCTACTCACGTACTACTTCAACAAATCTTAAGTCTGCTTGTACAGAGTCGACGGCGTGAGTGCAGCAGGCATTCATTATTTAGTTTTGCAGTTTTTTTGTTTTGTTTTGTTCAGTGCTGATGCACCTGCTGATTTCTTTGGTCAGAATCCATCGTTCTCAAGGGTAGCGCAAGCAAGTGCATTACCAACACTTTGGGGGGAAAACAAAATTAACGATCATTAGCACGAGATCATCAGATGGACGGAGTATAAGACTTCATTTTTACTAAGGCCTGCGCGCCCACGACGCTAGAGCCTGGGCCCCAGGTTCTAGTTCCGCGAAATGCGTGGCCAATCAGCCCGCGGCTTTTATGGAACGGCTACGCACTTCTCGAAACTAGAACTTGGGCACCAGGTTCCAGCATCGTGGACACGGGCCTTCGTGGTACTTAAAGAGCTATGGCACGTCATAGAGCGCGAGTTGCGCATCCCGGAATGGCAGTTTGCGGCTCTCCACAGAGTTGCGAGGCCGCTGGCAAAGTTTTAATAATTTTACAAACTGAGATACTTGTCACAGCAATGAACATTCATGCCGGTGCACGTAATTTTTAGTCCAAGTTTAGAATTGTACGAAGAGCCTGGGACAAATTTTTCTCTCGCGGTGGAAACGAAGTAATACCGGCCGATGCTTTAACGACTCACTCTATGGCATGCCTGTTTACTTTTCTAAAATCTTTATTCCTCTATGTATAAGCATGCAGTATATTCTATCGAGAATAACAACAACCGTGTCACAGCAAACAGACGCCGCGGTACAATCGTTTAAACCCTCCGTGTCCGGTTCTATCACACAATGCAGATTAACTTTAATCTCGGTTTAACTTGTTTCTCTGTAAGGCCCGGTTTCGTCGCTCAGCTCTATCTTAATTTAACTTATTCTCTTTCTAAGGGGGCAGTTAACCCTTTGTTCCACGTTTATTTTTTCTAGTGAATATTACTTTGCGAAACTTGTCACCGCGGAGTTTTTGCGGTTGCTGATTACGAATCTGATGTTAAAAATACCCCGAGACCATGATCTTGAAGTGTACGTTGTTACAGGGCAAAATTTTTATGTAAACGACATAATTCTCTAAAAACGACAATTTTTCGGTACACATTTATCAGTAACTAATTATTTGTTTAAGATATAGCTCTAGAGAAATTGATTTCTTAGTTAGAGGAACCTTCTAGCGGTCCAGTCCTCTATTACGAGATGGTAGGTTTCCAAATTCAATCACAAATCTTTTCTTCGCAACGATTACACGATCTGCCAATCAATGTTCCACCGAACAAATTTCACTCCAAGGGCGACAAATTCATGGCGGAGCCAACAGATGGTGCCTGTTAATTTAGCAGAAACCCCGCTATCTCATACTAGGAGCCTGTCCCATATAATAGGGGGACTTTCCTCTGCTAAACACGCTCAAGGAATACGTGAAAAATTTGATTCATTGAAAAAAAATCAACTCGACCGAGTGCCGCCGGGGTAACACTGTGCAGCAAAGGGTTGGAAGAGACGAAGGCTGAGTGAAACCAGGGTCAAAATTGGAGGGGGCCCAATTCTGGCAACTGGAGGACGAAGGTTGAACCGAGATTGAAACTAATCTACATCGGTGCAGATGGATATTAGCAGGCGACTCGAGAGGCGACGATTAATAACGTTATAAACCAGTTGGAAACTGCTATAAGCGACGTGTACAAATCAACGGCCATCATACCGCCTATTATGTTACTTCAACTGAGTGACAGTTATGCTAATATAATAATAATACTTCTATAGAGAGCGCATAATCTATCAGAGTGCTATAATACAAACGTATACGCATGCGGTAGACAAATGTGCTACTCTACTTGTGCTAATAAATGTAATCCGACGGTCGGCGCGAGATTAAATTGTAACTAACATATTTATCCAATCCAATCTGATAGGAGATACGTGTACAGGGTCGGTCTAACAGTCTAACGACTTTTTCCGTGCCAAACGGAGAACCGAGAGAAACTCGGTAAACCAAGTGTACGCGACGCCGATATTTCCCCACTTTCTGGTTATTCACGAAAGATCTCGGAGTGCACTTCTAACGATGCACTTTGGATTAACTTGATCTCGGTTCAGCCTGCTCCTTACCTCTTTCCAGTTCTAAGGCCCGCTATTCTGAATCCTCTTTTACCGACAAAAGCGTTTCTAATGCGTGGAGCAAGCCGGGCGTAAGGAGTAAGAGAGAGTCGCAGCCTTTAGCTCTTGGTGTAGGGAAGCTAAAATGCAGGCATAATTTTTAAAAGATCTTATCACCGGCCGATTCTCATTCGCCGAGAGTAAGCGTAAGAGCTCAAGTAGGAGAGTAAGCAGGAGTAAGAAATAAAATTGATTTACGTCCTTACTCCTGCTCCTTACCCGAGGCTCACTACTCCATGTACTGCAGACGTCGCATAAAAGTGGCTTGCAGCCAATCGGGGAAACTTATTGGCCACCTTTACAGACGCTTTCGTCGACAAAAGAGAGTTCAGAATGCAGGGCCAGAGGATTTTTTCCAAATTGGCAAAATTTCTCTTAGAAAACGACAAGAAGATCAATGTTAATCCGCACTGACGGAGGCGCGAGAGGAAGGAGAGCACCCGGTGGCGACGATCCGGAGGCTCGGTCAGGCTTGTCATTCTTGAGCGACGATTCGTCAGCGGCGGTGCAGCTGTGCTCTTATCCGGATCCGCGCTCCGCCTCGGGGCTGCGAAGCCGGCCACCGTTCTCTCCTTCCTGTCGCGCGAGCGTCTAACGAGGAGCAACGAGAAGCCGCGGGAATGCGTCGGTGTCGCGCGACCGCGCGCACTCGCGAGACACAACCTTCGCGAAGGCGCCCGGCGAGAGACGCGGAAACCACCCGCCGGCGAGCCCGTGCATCGCCGCGAGGAGGAAACGTCGGCCGGCCGTGGCGACACCGACCACTCCACGCGAGAGCGATCGTCTGCTCCTCTTCCTCCGTCTCTCTTCCACGCGCGGAGGAGAAACGGCCGAGCGACACGACACAACCTATATGCGCTTACGGGATCGTGCAAGGAGCGCAAGAAGCGAAACGGGCGAACGGACGGACGCGAGCGCGCGCGCGCACGCCGGTCGGCCGTGCGTCGGACTTACCGATTTTTAAACTTGACATATTCCTGCATAAAGACCTTTTGGGATCTTACGTCGTTACACGGCTTGTTTTCCCCCACCCCGAGCCGCAGCCATGAACGACTGGAGCGTACCTACGTGCCGGGGGGGCTCGTGCGTGTCTGTCGTCTCCCCTATCGCTCTTTCTTTCTCTCTCCTTATCTCCCTGTCTTTCCGCTTTCTCTCCCTCTCTCTCTCTCTCTTGTTCTATTCCTTGTGCAACTGAACGGGAGCGGGGAGTCAGGGAAGGAGCGCGCGGTGAGTGCCGCGTTCCATCCGCTTTCGATCGTCGCCGTCGCCGTCGTTCTCTCCCGTGGTCACCGGGCCGAGGGCCGCGCGAGCGGACGCGATCTCCCTCACGCGGAGCCGCCCTTCCTCCACGCCACTTCCCGTACGCGCGAGACGGCGACTCGAAGCGATGCTGACGGCACCGATTCGCCACACATTCGCGGCCGCGCTCGTACGCGACCCCTCCCGCACGAAGAACAGACCCACCCTTAGGCCGGCGGTGCACCGAGGATATACGGGTAGAAGTGCAGCCCCCTCGGTCTCCCCGGCTGTCCCGCACGGTAGGCGCTGCGAGTCGCCCGCCGCGCCACCTCGCGGCGAACGAGCTCCGTAACGAGCGCCTTAAAGGCCTGTGTCCATGGCGCTAGAACGTGGACCCATGGACCCATAGACATAGTATATCTAGACTGCTGGTTGGCGGAGTGGGGGTAGAGCTCACGTAGAAAAGGATGCACTCTGTTTCGTGTCTGTGCGTTCTCTCTCGCACACGCGAAAAGAGGGGATAAGGGGAAGCAGTTACTAACCTGTTACAGGTT